TGATGATAATCAAACGTTCCATACCAGAATAAGATAGATGTTAGTTGGAAAAGGGTAAGGTGGGTGTTGAGAGAAAGGGGGGGAGTAGGTGTCTTCGCTTCCTCTTCTCCCATTATATCTGACACACTTACGTATGGCCGGTTTGCCAGGGTACATTGTTAGTGAGTAAGATAAAAGGGAAAAGGAAGCGTAATGCTGTCACAATGCAGTGCATGGGTTTCTTCAGATGCAACCAAGTGAGAATGCTCTACTTTGGACGTAATTAACGAAGGCAGCGCGCTTTTTTGCTTCTCGAAGTGTGGACGTCTTTTAGTCGTAACGAACACAAGAAACAAAAACAAAACACATTCATATGACAATATTCGGTTAAGAATGTTTTATCGCTTTTCTTTTAACCCAGTAGAATATTTCTTATAATAAAGTTATTTCTAAATATTATTCACTAGTTATAGGATTATAATACATTTTTTTTTTAAATTTTAATACTTTCAAATTAAGCTTCAAAACGTGTAATGCAGTAAATATAATACAATTTCCGGCTTGAAATTTTGAAAGTTAAACTGTTATAAAATGCCACTAATAAATAATGCTACATATTCCTTTTTTCTCCATAATAGTTGTTTTCACTTTAACGTCATGCTAAACTGCCATGTTTGAGACCCATAAGGCTGAGGCACAATCTGCCATAATTTTGAGCTGCAGACCAGAGTAAAGACAAGAAACTAAAAGCACCAGCCACCTGAAGGGCCCTACTCTTAGCCGAATATCAGGACTGACTGTCGTTCTTATAACACACACATATGAAAATGTTTGGTAGCGCTACGTCTCGAACTCGAGACTCAAACCTCCAGTCCGAAACATTAACCACTAGGTCACACTCGGGCCCTCCTTATGATAAATTAAACGTCACAACTTATGATAATGCCGTTTGGTGAATAATTAATTTTTCTATGATTTGCTTTTGATTCTGCTATGATCAAAGTAATGAAAGTCTCTTCATTTGGTTGGACTCAGTGAGCGCAATGTTTAATGTTTCATTAATCGACGAATAATGTGACAATAAAAAAATGGCTGTTTGATGCACTTACAAATGAATAAAATAAGTAATCGTTAAAATAAAGAAATGTGGGTAGTTTTAAGCTATAAAGTTATATATAACCTAGAATGTGTAGCCGCAAATGAGTAAGTGAAGTAACGTAAAATACACGTTGTTACGAAATTTTTGCATTCGGTTACCCTTTTTTTCATCTTTAAATGTACGGTATTTACATTCCGTTAGTGTTATCGTTAACTTCTTTGTTTTGTTCTGGATATTTCAAAATGAATTACAACCAGCAGTTTCAAAACTCTCAGTATTGGGTTTTAAATATGATATTCTTCTGTATTTGACAGTAGATATCTTGAAGCGATCTAGGATATTAAGTCAAACTGAATAAAAATATAATGCAACTTAATTATTTAAATTTCAATTGTATTCAGCTTATAGCGTAATGAGTGAGCTTAGTCCCAGAATATATTGAATATGTTTTATTGCTGACACAACGGCAGACATCCATGTATAACTCTCGGACACATATTAGCATTTGAATAACACGATATTACATAGATATTTGATGTAGGCTGCTTGTTAGTTTGTATTAAAAACACAAAACTGTTTAGACTAAGGTTAAAAGTAACAGTTACAGTTAGTTCTTATAAATATTTGTGTACCGTCGTCTTTTGCACGATTACAAAATACAAATTTATGTAGAAACTCGTTCAGATTGTGTTTGTGGACAATATTTGATTAAGAAAAAATAGCTATTTTATTTCTTACCCCTCTCTAACTGCTATGACTTTACTGGTATGTTACGATTTTTATGGATCATATTAGGATTATATCATTTTGAGTTACTAGTAATATGTTATCAGATAAAGTAAGAAAAATTACCCTGTACGTGGGTTTCGGTTTCCATTTCACAGGATTGTGACCCAGCTGTTCTGGCAATAGTACGTTAGCCAGTAACAGAGCAGGTTCTCTTAGCGAACAATTTCGTTTATTGAAAGTTGCAAGTAAAGGCGCTTTAAGAAACACAGACAACGACTCTATAGTCATTCTTTAGTAGTGTCTGCCTATATCATATTGATTAGATAGGAGCTCTGATTGTTGACTTGCCATTAGGCGAACTTACCGCACGAGGAACGTTTTCTTGGATCGGCCAAATGAAGAAGAATCTTTATCGAAGCACGTTCACCACGAGAGGAATAGGGGGTTCGGCAAACACCCCACTGATTTTGACGTCTTAAATTTTAACTTATTGTTAGTTTTTGGGATGGGAAAAGGAGAGGCCACAGACTCGAAGACTTTAATCAGTTGATAAATAAATTTGTGTCATTGGCTTTATTTATGAAAGTATGCGTTGTCTTTGTTGAACAGTTTATGATTTGCTGAGATTATTTTTTGCGTTATCTTTGTTAAATAGTTTATGATGTGCTGATGATTTTTTGCGTTGTCTTTGTTGAACAGTTTATGATTTGCTGATTATTTTTTGCGTTATCTTTGTTAAATAGTTTATGATGTGCTGATGATTTTTTGCGTTGTCTTTGTTGAATAGTTTATGATTTGCTGATGATTTTTCTTCAAATTATACTTACCTAATTAATTTTTCCAATGATTTAGAAATATGCAATAAAATATACTGCATAAAGAATACAAACAGATCATAATATTTTATACTGTTTGTGCAGGTTTGAATAGACCAACCACATGTGAAGTACAAAATAGTTTAATAAGATTTAAAGCTTGTGTGATAATGGAATCAAAATATTTCTTTTTTAAATATTCAAAATATTGTGCGTGATAAATCACAGATGTTAATTCTCTAAGAGCATAGGCAGAAACACAGGCCAACTTTTTCTTTAGTTTTAAGCATGTCATTGATAACATGGATATAAGTTACAAAGCCACTTCACTAAAATGTCTTTTTTCATTCACTAGGCATTCAATCAACAAATAAAGTAAATACAACTGAATCATTTTCATGAAAGTCTGGTTTCCTTTTCTTTCAGTCGACTTCAAGTAATTTACTTATAGTATTTGTACTCTGTGAGATTATATTAGAATAATCCAAGTATAAGTGCAACTTGGAATATTTCTGTTGAATTAAGGTCATGTTGATATTGTTATATCTAAATGATAAATGATAATAGAGTATAGGCCTAGCTCAAATAAAGAAAGATATTAAAAACCAATCAGACGGCAGATAAAACTCGGCTTTTAAAAAAAACAACATCAAAAAACATTTCTCACAATGAAAGAAATGAGTTCGTATTTGTTTTACAGGTTTTACTTTGTAGATCCTTACAATAATTATAAGTCACTGGTTTGAAAACTTTTAGGAGAATAAGTCATAAAAAGACTATTAATGATATACTTTCTGTGGAAAAACTTCGTCAGATAATTAAATTTTATCTTTCACGGTTAATTATAAATAATTAATGCACAATACTGGCAAAAAAGTTATTGTTGTCATCTAATCTTATTTGTGAGTTGAGTAGATTTTGCGAAATTTTTTACAATTATTGACGATAATATGATAGTGTTTTAACTATTTCCTAATGCCAATAGTCTTTATTATGATCAACAAGTATTTGTTTATGCGTTTTAGTGCAAATCTACACAATAGGCTATCTGCACTCTGTGTACCGCGAGGATTCGAATCCAGGATTTTAACGTTGTAAGTCCGTAAAATTACCGCTGATCGAATGATGGAACTTCGACCATTGTATTTTAGTAACATTCTTATTTTTATTGCTAAGATTTTAAAGTATTATACTGGATACTTAAATAGTGTTTCATATAATTTTATGTCTTTTATCGCTTGGCCTATCTGATGAGTTCGGGGACTGAAAGAGAAACCTACTGGACAGCTGCTTGTGGGAAACAATATATGTGAAATGCTATTTTTACATACTTCTGATTGCAAGCCGCAATAGACAAATTAAGAGGAATATGAAGAAAAATATCTGCAGTTAAATTGTTTTTGTAAGAACGTTTAAGCCTATTGTTTTTTTTCAATATTTCGCTGGCTTTTGGGGTTTAAACCATAACTTTCTAAAATTCACGTTTTAAGAAGCGTTCTATTCCCACTTACAGCAAAGTTAAACTTAGTCGCACGTTATAAGATTGTCAAACCCAACATCTACGCTTGAATAGATAGAAAAGAAATATAAGCAGATTCGAGTGTAAGTGAGACTTTTATAAACTTATAGTGTTTTAATAGATATGTAGCCTAATATTAGAGGCACTTCAGTTCATATCTTGATAAGTCTTGGCTTTATTACATGACAGAAGTTCATGCAAATGACATATTTCATAATTTGCAAGGTCTACCCCTGTAAAACGCTATTCACGCTGAACATCATTGTATTGAGCGATAGCAATTAGCATTAGACAACTAGAATATTTGTCTGTCCTTTTTGATAATCCACGCTTCTATTTGATACACAGAGGATTTCAGTGAATTGTTTATAAGCTATTTTATTTTTACCATTTTTAGTATTTATGGAGAAATATTATATCCCAAAGTTCAGTTTATAAATTTTACGAACACGGGTAGTATGAATGATGTTCATCTTAGACTTTACTATCTCTTAAGACGAGGAAAGGTAAATTAAATACTATTAGTAGGTTGTCCATATAGTTATATAGTTAGCAAAGAAAATACTAGAATAACTCAAAGTTGTATTATATTGACGTTTAACCTTTGACATGCTCATACTTTCCCTCGTTCTAATTTTATAATTGAGGATATGTATTCGAGATCATTCTTTAATTTACTCTGTGGAGCGTCTCCCCGGATGACGAGTTACCATGGAAACTGGATGCCTGCGTTGTCTCCTTAACTGACAGGCGGATCACAGAGGGCGCCCGGAAGCCAGTAGAACCGTTTCGTCACCTCTTCAGCCTCCGCATCTACTGCTGTTTGTGTACTTACTCCGACTGACGGTATTACTAGCCGCTGAAATGCTTGCTTGTCTCCCTTCAAGATCCAGTATTCTCTCGGAAGATCAGATGAAGAGCTGTCACGTTTCCAAGCTAGTGTCAACCCCATCTTTGCTCTCCCAACCTCTATGACGTCTCACCGAAGGAAAGACGAAACAGTAAGTAAGGAATGCAATTACGTTAGGTAAGCCTAACCTACAAATCCGGTTTCGGTGTAAAAAAACGTAAAGATAAACCACGTGGCAGGGATAGTAAGGCTTAGACTCGATAGTTTCAGAATTGCTCCATTATGTGTGTAACGTAACTAAAGGACTTGGAGCGTAGTATATATGACAATGCAAACTTAAGCATAAAGTTTATTATGATACAAGGTTTTTAAAGTAAATATTTATAATTTAAAGTGCAATGTTCACACTTCGCATAATATAGCATTCAGTATCTAAAATTAAACCAGGAAATCCCATAATGTTGTAAACAAATGATCAAACTTTAGGTATTTGATCTTTTCTATGAAGATTGTTTTTTCATCTGAAAACAAATCTTTTACGCCTGTATTTTATGAATTTAAAAGCACAGATTATCATAAACTAAAATGGTCCTGCAATTAAAACTTATTGTGTAAACAAAAACTGAATAGTTAGAATAACGGATAATTTCAGATGTATATTTCTGAGTTTATGACCCCCTGTGAGTGAGCGGTAAGCTTAAGGGCTTATAACTCTAAAATACTGAGTACAATACTTGCAGTGGTACAGCACATTAAATCTATTGCGTTGCTTTGAGCTGAGCAACAAATAGTCAAGTGCAAATATTATTTATGCTGTTATTTTTCTTTGAAGATTTACTATATATATATATATATATATATTTATTTATTCATTAACTATTAAGTTTTATCTGTAACAAAATCTTCCTCAATATTCTAATTTTGAGTATGAATACCTAAACTTAAAATGAAGTTTATTTGGAAAAGACAATCATCACATTCAAAATATATCTATGTTTTCCTATTTACATATATAAAACAAAAAATAACATGAAGAGGTAATATTAATAATAATAATTTTGCAAAATTATATCTAAGGGACAATAAATAAATGTTGGTTGCATAAGTAAGGTTTTTTTAAATATTAATATGATTTTATATCATATATGTATATAAAATACAAATACGTTTTTTGTGAGACCCAAGTAAAGTAAAATATATGCTGTGTGGGTGTGAAAGCCACTGATGATGACGTTAGTATCGATTACAAAGTTGTTTTTTGTTTTGTTTGTAGTTAAGCACAAGGCTACACAATCTCTACCCATTACAGGTATCGAAACCCGGTTTCTAGTGTAATTCTAATTTCGAAGCAAACGGTCCAATTAGCAAAAAGTTTATCATTTAACCAACATACGTTTTAATAATACACTGAATAGAATTGATGTTAAAAAAGTTATATATGTTATGTATTTCATCGGAAAAATGGTTTAACAATGAACATGATGTATATATATATATGGCACAGTTTATATCGAGAATTGTTAATATTAAGATGTTGCCCTTGCAAAACCGAATCATTCACTGTAGCCTGAATTACAGTGTATTGTTAACAATATTCCTTTCATAATCCTCTGAATCAAATTCTGTTTACGAGGCTTATTATACAAACCTCTCAAACAGGGAACTACTGATAATTAATATTGTTATGAAAACTTCTTCAAACCTAGAACTTATAAGGTTTATCTCATGAGCCTCCCAATCAAATTCTGATGAGAATATTTATTGTACAAACGTCTCAAACAGCAAATTACTTATAATTAATATTGTAAAGAAAGCTTCTTAAAACCTAGAACGTATAAATGTTGTGATGAGAGGAAATCCACTATACACTCAAAAGCTGTACTTCTAGAACTTATAAGGTTTATCTCATGAGATTCTAGACCAAGTTCTGTTGAAAAGACTTATTGTACAAACCTCTCAAACGGTGAACTACTGCTAATTAAGATTGTTGTGAAAGCCTCTTAAAATATAGAACTTATACTGTTTATCTGATGAGCTTCTCATGCCAATATGTATATTTTTCAAACCTTAGTATACACGTTTCTCGTTAGATTACATCATTGCTACTTGTAAAAACATTTTAGATTATATACAGCCACCACAGACTAGCATAGAAGATCTGAATAATGTTATTTAGCAACGTTTCTTGTTGTACAACGCTTGAGAGGGGATTGTGCTGATACACCACCTGGAAGAACAATAAGAGCTCTGTGTTAGCATACAGATAATTAAAACGGACGGAGATATTGTATAACAAACAAATCCAATTATAAACAGTCTTAGATGCTTATTTATTTCAAATCTTCAGTTGTTCTTTTAAATTAATATAAGTACAACTGAAGATGTGCTGTATGTAGTATCTAAGAACTTATACAATAACATATAAGAATTTATACAATGGCATATCAAATATATTTATGCGACTGACGATGTTGGTTTTTACCCTATGTATGAAGACTAATCAACTATATATGTAAATTTTACGCCGTCTAAAAAGCTTATAGAATAGGATATCAAAGATGTTTCTATGTACATTTTACACTTTCTAAGAGGCTTATACAATAATATATCAAGGAGGTTTCTATGTATATCTTACACTATCTTAGAGGCTTACACAATAATATATCAAAGAGGTTTCTATGTATATTTTACATTATCTTAGAGGCTTATACAATAATATATCATAGATGTTTCTATGTATATTTTGCATTATCTTAGAGGCTTACACAATAGTATATCAAAAAGGTTCCTATGTATATTTTACACTATCATAGAGGCTTATACAGTAGTATATCAAAGAAATTTCTACATATGATAATGTTGGTTTTATATTGTCTATAAGGATAACTATTATAGAGGCTTATACTATCGACGATGCTTGTTATGAGTTATATGAGAGGCACGAATAAAGGCAAAGGTGTTGTTTATGCACTATCCGAGAGACTGACACTACTGATTATATGCTATATAAGACAGATTATACAACTAAATATTTAGGTTACACGTTATTTATAGAATAAATAACATTAGTTTCTAGAGGCTTCTAGAACGTGTAATGCTGATTATCCACTACGTGAGAAGATTACATATAGAATGATGTTGGTTATACCATACTTAATACAACTAATGATTTTGGCTACAAATCACTAAAGAGACTTATACGCCATGTTAGTTATGCTTTATGTGAAGGGTTGATACAACTGAAGGAAACTTATGCAATTGATGATTTTGGTTATATACTAATTTCCATATTTCTGCGACTGATGATTTTGATTATGAGAGGTTTATCAACTGACAATGTTTGTTATACCCTATATGAAAGGTTTATACAACTTACAACGTCGGTAGACATTAGCTAACGGTGTACAGAAATGAAGTTGATTGCGCACTAATTGAGAGACTTATATATGTTAAATATAATGTTGGTTGTATACTATCCGAGGACTTGTGGGATTAAAGAAGTTGTTTATAAACTGGTAATATTGGTTATACATTTTCTAAGAGGCTTGTATAATTGGAGATGCTGGTTATATGCTACCTGATAAGCTTATTACAATTATGATGCTATTAATACTTTATATGAGACGCTTACATATCTGAAGATGTTGGTTATCTACTGTGGAAAAAGACTTACAACTGCTAATGTGGATTATGAAAAATCTTGTATAAGTATTGCTGTTGGTTATTCTTTGCCTCAGACCCTTTAACAACAAACGCTACTGGTCATGGGAGGATGTTTGAGGTGATAATGCTAGTTATATACTAAAGAATAAACCCTCTGCAAAACAGAACAGATATCTTATCTTGATTTTGATTGATGATATCATTTTCTTAGGCTTGATGGTAAAAGTGCACCACAGAAGATAATAATTAACGAGCGTTTATAAGTCCTGTTTAAATCTTAATCACTTGAAAGTTTTGTTCGTCATATCAGTATTGCTGCTTAAAATCAGATGTTTTAAATAATTTTTCTTGAGACAAATGAACGAAATTATAAAAGTTTCAGTTAATGTTTATTTTTCTTTGTAGATATTATAGATGCGTCAAATAATAAAGATCGTGGATATTTTACAGTTATCATCCTACGCTTTTAATAAGCATATTTATTATAGAGATATTTTATAAAACAATTACAAGTTACAGTGTTAAACAATCCATGTTACACTTAATTCTATTACGATCAGAAATTTATAGAAAAAATAAGTCCCCACAGTTTTGAATATCGAGATTTGTAATCATTGGAAAAGAAATATCTATACTTTAATTTTGGTTCATAACATTAAGTTTAAACATCATAACTGAAAACTCTATAGTTTGTATAAAACAATTAGAAAATGAGTAAAATGTCACTAAAATGCACTTTTGTATTTTACCATTAAGATTTGTGAGAACATTATGATAGAGAACAATAATTGTTTGTTTGTAATTACGCACAAAGCTACACAATGTGCTATCTGTGTCTTGCACACCACGGGTATCGAAACCCGGATTCTAGCGTTGAAAGTCCGTATACATACCGCTGTGCTACTGGGGGGGGGGCAGGGGGATAATAAAGAAAAGCTGATGTTTTTGCATGAATATGATTTAGTAGGTATTTTATTGCAAAGTACAGTACTTCTTTTCGATAACTCGTATTAATTTCAACGTGAAAATAAATGATTAACATTCCAAAATTAACCAACGTTTTAACAGAGTAAATGAACTTTACCAAATGAGTATAATTCTGGTCCTACCTTGGTGAAGTAGCATCCAAAACTCTTTCTCTGATAAATTCGCATTTTCGAGCCTCCATTTGTAAGGAGACGACGTAGAAAATTCTACGTTCTTCATTTGTTTTGTTGTTTATCTGAAACCAATTGTGAATGACATAGTAGGTGATAGCGAATATTTTCGACTTATACTTATGCTTCTAATTATATAAAGCTCTCATATATCACATAGCATTAAATTCTTCTCTTTTGATAAACAGCGTGGAATAATCTGTATTACAGAATGTTGTAATTAAATTGAGGACTCCATTTTTGATGTTATCTTACTTATATAATGCTTGATTAAATTTCGGCATACTTCATTTAAAATCTAAAATTATAAGGATTTGAATTCAAATACATA